TTAGAAAGAAATATAGGAATATAGAAAAAAACATACACGCTCTGTAATCCTTGTCTTTTTTCTAAGGCTTGACCAGTTAGACAATTTAAAGTTATTCAGCATCACTAAGGATTCTTATACATATCAAATCATTATGAAATCTAGAAATTCTATCAGCTAGGGGAACTGAAAGGACCTCTTTTTGGAGCTCTAATGGAAATTTAAAAACAAATATTCATAAAGACAATTTCAAAATTTAAAGTATGATGACAAATTAATGAACATTTTGAATTCTGTGTTTTTTTTCATCAAAAATTACTTAAGGAATTTGTATATGTACAAAACTTTACCTCTTATTGCCATTTTCACTATGGATTTACTCTCTAAAATGCAAACCATTCCAAACTTTGTCTAGTAAATCTTTTCTCCATGTACATTTAACAGTATTCCTTGTCAAACTAAACATGGTTTTCACAATTTTTCAAAAAAGATAAAAATCTAGACTTTCTTGCTGAAGGCTGTTACACTTTGAAATCTTTTACATGAGGCACAAATGGGGAACAGTTCTAGTTTATTCTATTTGAATCTATTTGTATTTCATTAGGAATCAAATACTTCTTCAACACTGAAGAATAATTAATGATAATTTTTTTTTGAAGTTTCTGTGTTAATTTTATATTTGTTCTAAAAAGAGTGCACCCATTAAGGACCTCCCTCCTAGAAAAAGCAGGGAAAAATCTTAAAGCTGGGATAAAGGTGTAAAGAATTGTACCCCAGGTAGATACAATCTATAGGATGACATGGTAAGATCCCCAGGGTCAGGACAACAAAAGAAAATTTACAGAATTCAACATTGAAAGACTGTAACAATTTAAACAAACTTTAATTTATCTGTTAAAAAATCTTTTTGAAGTCTGGTCTTCAATTGTTATTTTAAATAAAAATACATGATGTAAAAACACTTCCTATAAAAGGTTACAATCAAAACACTGTTAAAGTTCACAATCACTACTTCACTAGAAATACTAAATGTTACAGCTTTTTAATTGATGTGATAATATTTATTAAAATAAAACTTTAAAAATATAGTATGTCCATTGATTATTAAGCATGAAGTAAATGAAACTAAAAAAATGGTCAAGGAAATGAACATCATAATTTTCTTTCAATAAAAACCATTCACCTTTCAACTTTCTTAAATCAAAATCTAATATTTCTGTCTTGAGTAAAAGTCGGTCTTTCATTAAAATGGATTTATAATAATTCTCTTCCTTTATTGATTGACATGAAACTAAAATACTAAAGTAAATAACACTATACTAACTGCACCAAAGGTACTACAAGCAAAGACAGAAAACTTTTTAATAGCAACCACCTTCCGAGTCCCTTTTACAGATGTCATAATAAGACAGTATAGATTTTATAACTTACACAATAAAACCCCTTATCAATAGTGTTTGACTTTTATATCAAATTAACATGCGAGTAGCTATTTAATGTCCCATTATAAAACTAAGTCAAACAATATCAAGTGCAATACAACTTTTGTTTGTTATTATTGGGGTGCTTAAGCATGTCATTTTCATCCAGTTACAAATATTACAAAACAATGAGCTAAATTTGCACCTGTCTGATAAAATTACCACTGCAATGGACAAAATTCCATTTGCAGTACAGATTTTTAGTATTGTCAACCAAATTGAAGATTACAGACAATTTAAGTGGCAGTTTCATGAAATGATCTGTCCACCTCCCAATGGTATTCCAATACAAATATAAGACAGGCATGCGACCACCAATCACCTAGATACCTGTTATTGGACGTTACCCTTTAATGATTCAATAATTTGCCATCTGCACTTCCTATTTCATCATTCAAGTGAATCTTTCCATTTTAATTTTTACAGGACATCTATTACTCAGTCATGGAAAACACTTTTAATGGTCAATTAACGAAAAGTAATTAAAATCTTATTGAGAAAAAAATTAACTAATTTTTGGGTTTTAATTCTATTCTCATATAAATGCAGCTGTCTCTTTTGTTTAAATATTTACTTCCAATATTTGAACTGTTACAAATGCTTTTAGTTATCTTTGTTTAAATTTCATCTTTTTATATGTACTAAATGCCAGACTCCCCTGCTATTGATCAAAATTTTTTGAGGAATTGGAATGACAAAGATATGTTAGGGTTGAATGTGTCAATAGATGAAAATTCTTTCTACTAACATTGACTAAGTGAATTGACAATGGTATTCCATAAAGTGAATTGATAAAGGCCCATTTTATTCTTCTCAATGTATTATTTTTTTCAACATTTTTACCTTTTTCTCTAAATGATCAATTATTATTTAATTTCCTGTCTGTGCAACAAAATGATCAATATGCATGTGAGACTGCACACCTGCAGCAGGTGGCCCTTGTTTTACATATGCAAATGAATTACCGTAGATAAACCTTAAGATAGGTCAAAATAAACAGGTGAAGGCACCAGACTTAACCATGTAGAAAACCAAAATGATATAGCGTGGAATCAATTACAATTGAATTCAATTGATCTTTTAAAATTGTAATACAAATTGGGAGCATCATATTTATCTGTTCTGTCAATGGTTTAAGCTAATGGCTTGTACTAATAGAAATTTCAAATCTGATATTGTACAAACTGTCAGTTACAACGATTTATGGCGTTTCACTAAAGTCAAGTTTAATTCCTATGCCAACATCTACTTTGATACTAAAAATACTAAACAGGAAATGATGAACTCTGAATATCTACTCAATTTCATTTAAACATAAAAATTGTTTTTGTTTTCGTGTTTATTTTTACGGACTTTTAGGCATGGTCTTTCAAACAAATCTGCTACTTTATGGGAAAGTACAAGTGTTAAGCAAAGTAACTTCAGTTATAAAGTAAACAAATGTAAAGGGTCAGATAATTGTTAAATATTTAAGCAGTTGGTGGAAGTCCGTCTCATGCAAGATTCAAAGACTAACAATATACACAAACTTTAAATACACAGTTAATTTTTTTTTCAATCTGTTCTACAATAGTTGTCAAGTACTTCAAAGTGACTAGCAAATATGTAAACAATAGCAAAGGGTAAGTTTATTGGATATTTTTTAAGCATTGATTAAAAATCTTCAATTACAAAGATGATCCCCCATAAGTGACATCAACCATGTAACAAGCATCAAACTGGGTACATCATGCCATGTATCATCCCTAATCTAATGATTACAAATTACTACTGTTTTAACTTCTCCCAACCCATGCTGTGTACACAAACATTGCTTTACTGATAGAACAGTTTTGTTTCAGATTTATTTTCTTCACATCATCATGTAAATTAACATGGGGACAGTTATTTGGAGATTTAACAACCTGACATTAAGATGAGAATTAAACCATAGACAGTTAACCCTTGATGTCTTCTGTCCCTTTAATTAATTAGTATTCATATGTGAGCAGGGAAACAGTTGCTGAAACCAGATGTCATTAATTAGTACCTATATCATTTTTGAATTTCTACAAGACAACACACTGTTTTATGGTCTACATAACAGATTTCATGCATATAATTAATTAGTAAATGAAAGGAGACATTATTTCATAGTTAATGTGGTTCCAAACAAATTTCTTTACCCTATTTGTCCAATTTTGAGTTTACTGTTGCTTACAAAAAAATGTCAAGAAAGTAAAAAAAATAAAAAATTTCAACTTAATTATTTGTAACATACCAATATCAAGATACATTCCTCTAAACTTTCTCACAAAATAAATATTTCCCTCATTAAACAGTTTTCACACTTAAAAGAGTGTGTTCTTATTTCCACAGTTTTTCTTAAAGTGACAGAATTTTGTCACCAAGCATGTGTCACTCAACATGTCAAATGCTTCTGAGACCAAAACACAATTTTCACCTGTTAATCTAATTATCTGACCTTTGATCAATTACCTGCTCTTAATTTTTAACCTGTTGAAAGGTGTATTGAAATTTCTGATGTTGAAAAAGGTAAGATTTGAAGAGTTATGACAGTCGTCCATCAAAATGTTTTAAAGTAATGACATGGTTTTCAAGGTTGATTTGTCTAATGTTTCACTTTCAGGGATATTAAATTTAAAGGGGTGGCAATTCTATTGTGAATTTATTTCATTAAAATGAATGTCTTGTAATTTTCTCTTTCATGCTAATTTTTGAAACAGAAACACAACCCTTTTCACCTGGAAATAATAAAAGTCCATTGTCAATTTTTTATTGGCAAAAATACTGAAATTATTTTACCACAAGTCTCATATCAAATTTAATGTTATTTTAACTAAAACCACTTTCATATCGAACTTAATAGAAATGATGCATGAAACACTTGAAAAACAGCAAAAAGCTTAATCAACAAAACCTGAGGCTCTTAGTTTCAGATTTTGGTATATGAGGTCTTGGGACATATCTTTTTGGTTAAAAGTGTAGAAGGTATCATAAATATGTCCATGCACATGTAACTTATGAGAACCCTCAGGAAGATTCAAAATTTAGTTTTCTAATATTTTGTTCCATGACAGAACTACTGATTACATAAGAGATAAGTTTTTAAGCCATTAAAATTGTCATGTGTTACATAAATCTGATCCATCAAACTTTATTTACTACCGTTTGGATTAATATATCAAATCTGAATACTGTTACTGACATGACAGTTTTATTTGAATTTAATTTGAATTGAATTGTGAAAAATAACAGACAATTTATCAAATTATGTTGACATTTTTTTTTTACCAGTAATGTATAAGGGTATACTTGATTGAAAATACTCTTGTTTCTCACAAGTAAATTTAAATAACTATATGAGTTATACATGTATTCATTTATTTTATTATTAAATTAGAATTATTTTTTTTTAATTTTTATTAAAAAATTTGGCCAATATGTATATAAATGATTAAATAACCAATAACTGTTTCAGCTAAAGAGCTAAAAAAATAATATGCAAAGATTATATAATATATATAAAATAAAACTTACAAGCTATGGTTTGATGCATAGTAGACAAGTTGCATATCTTGAACTGCATAAGGATAACCTTCAACACCACAGAAAGTTGCAAATGTTTTTTTTTTCAAAGTTTCACACCACACTAATGTCCTTGTTTCTAGTATAATATGTCCTTGTACAATATAAGGTCCTTATGGATTAAGACACAAGTCAATTCTTTGAAGTTATAATAGTATAAGATAAGGTGTGAACTATAAGGATGCTATGATCAAACTACATCCTTGTCTGGAATACTGTCCTTATAAGTAAATACACAGCTTGGGTCAGGATTAGAAACTGACCAAAGAAAAGACGTATATGAAAACTTGTTTTGAATACAGTCTACTTTCACTACACAAAATATACTCTAGCTTGCTGGTTTCAGCTCAGGGCTAAAATGATATACAAACACTGTAATCTGGGTTCTTTTGTTCTGACTGGTCATGTGACACCAAAATGCATCAAGGTGTAAAAATGTAAACATTGAAGTGTGGTAGAAATTACTCATCCATGACATTCAAGTTTGAATTTTAGCAGAAAAATTAAATTCTGTTCTCTGATTGGTCAGTTAAATTTTGATTGATGGATCAATTTTATCATTGATTTTTACCTGTTCAAGTGAACACATGTTTTTTTACCTGTAATCTTTTAAATGAAATTGAAACAATTTTTGAATATAATATTAATTGAAATAATTTTTGTAAAGACTTATTCTATACCTCAATTAATATTAAATCAGAAAACAAAGAATGTCACATTTTCAAACTTTATTCTGATTAGTAATTGAATGAAAACTACACAAATTGAATATTGAAACTTATAATAATGACAATACAACCAATTTGTCCAAAAACCAAAAAAAAACTGTCAAATAGGTTTCAGAGGGTGAGGACATAAAAAACGTACAACAATATCTAGTTATGATTAGAAACAAAAAATGTCTTCATAGAGGAAGGATGGGGATCGACAAACTCTATATTTCCCTTTTTCTTTATATGCCTCTGATTCATTGCTGTCTTTTCAATACGCAGTAAAAAAAGTAGCTTTAATAGCTTTTTTATATTCTTAAGTGCAGTATTGTACTTCATCTTGACATTTGTTTGGTAAATAAATAGACCTTTTTGTATCCCATTTGAACAGAGTGAAAACAATGTTAAAATTCAATTTTAAACACTCTCTAACTATCAAATTTTACAAAACATTTTCATGATTGTGTAAAGAATTAAATTTGGTCCAAAACTGCATTAAATGTAAGATTTTTTTTGAATGCTCTGGTAAAATCTTTTTAAAATTGTAAAGTGCTTAGGACTCTCAAATGAGACAATAACATTTAGCAAGCTATGACTAGACAAGGGATGGTGTCCTGTTGATAGGTCTCTATTTCAATTTAACACTTTTTCTATCTTTTTTTAACACCTAATTAAAACCAATCTTATAAAAAAGACAATGATTGCTTTTTATTGGAAAAACTGTACAAATGATTGCAGCTTTACAAAATTAAGGACAATTTTTTAATCTTTGTCCAGACAAACTTTTACAGTTATTCTATAATGATTTTATGATGGACACACTTCTATCATTGCCATAAAAACACTAATCAAGCTAATTACAGGTATGTGTAACATCAAAGGGCAAAAGTGACAAAAGAAAGAACCTATACTCAGGTAGGTAGGCACAAGCCATGACTAGACCAAGGCCATCTTTTTGGCTTCACAATTATTGTTGTAAAAACAATGATTATAGTAATACACAATGAGTTATATAGATAGTGGCAAATTTAAATCTTAACTGATGGCAAATATAAAATAAAGGAAAAGATTCACACCTATCTTGAAAATAATTTTTTTTTAAATTCAGTCAAGAACTTATTTAGTTGAAAATCACTAAAAACTAAGAATTCTCTCTCAAAATAAAGAACAGTAATTATTTTTCTTTATCTATGTACAGTATACTACAAAAAATTAACTTGAAATATAAGTTTGAACCATATACTACAAGCTATTTGGACAGAAAGAAAAAAATGTTTCAAATCATTTGATTGAATATTCAAAGTTCAACTATTGTGTCACAGATTGTTGTAAATGTATAGGATAGAAAATCTGCTATTATATCAAGAGCCAAACTTCCAACATTTTATATGGTATAACAAATATGAACAAATAAATGTAGAAATAAAATAGTCAGAGACACACAAATAACAGTCCAAAAAATCAAATCAGAATAATACAACAACCAGCTTCATGGATGTCAAACTAAAATACAGGCAGAAAAAAACCCAGCATAAATCTTTGGTGGATGGTTGTCTCATTGGCAATCATACCACATCTCCTTATTTTTATGTCAACATTATGCAATTGTCAACAGATTCAATATTTACATCCTTAAAAAAAACCTTAATACAAAATATCCTTTTTACTTTATTTCAACACACTTAATTAGGTAAATACATATATTTATTTATCTTACACCTTTCGCTTTTCCTGTTGCAAGGTGTAAGTAATAAATGAAATCCCTTCTATTTACAAAGGATGACTTTCATTATCTGAACTGGATTACGTTTCCCTTTGTAAGTAGATTATACCTGATCCAGATAGATCTATGTTTGCCTTGAGAATCTGATAGCAAAGAATTTTTTGGGGAAATCTCCAGATTGTTAAACTGATTTGCTAGTCTAAATTATTTCAAACCCAAGTTTTATCAGACCATGTTCAACAAGAAATTCTTGAGTATTAATGAACCTTTGATTTAGTTCTGTATTGATGTTTCAAAAACAATAGTAATCATCAAGCTTTCAGCAGAATTCCATTGCAGTCTTAAAATCTTCTATAAAATTAATTCTGCTGTTTCCCACAGCAAGGAATGTTGGAAGTCCTTAAAATGATAATAAAACAATTTAAGATCGTCCAAACTACCTCCTATAGCCCAGATTTTCAGACCCAAAACAGTCGCATTTTGACTTCTTTCTATTATTAGCTTAATTTGTTTTTCACAAAACATTAATATAAAATTCACCCCGATTCAAAAAGAACCAGATGAGAATCTATGATTTTTGTTATAAAGCTCAAATATGTAAGTTAAGTAAACAGGGAGGGAGGTGCACATTAAGCTGAACTTTACAGGGAGGGAGGTACACATTAAGCTGAACTTTACAGAAAGAGAAAATAATTTTAGGTTAAGTTACACTGCTGTCTCACTTTCTAAGAAAACAGATTATACCATTTGTATCAGAATTCACCCAAATGGCTGCTATTTTTGCCTTTCTCTGATCTCCTTATCAAAACTTGAATTTCAAGATACAAAAAAATAAATTACATTCACAATTAAATGGTGCCAAAGTTTAACTTTTCAATCACATCTTTTTATCTATTTATATGATTGAAAGAAATAAAAAATAAATATATATATTGTTTAAATTCAGATGGGCAAATGAGATGAACTTCCCCCAATAATATGCCTTTTTGTAATAATAATGGTGGTGTGGTCAACCTGAAAATACTGATACTAAAATTCAGATGATAAGGAAACAAGCTATCTAAAATCCTTTTTTCAGATTTAATAAGAAAAATAAGACTTTCAAAGCCTTTTTGATATCCAAAATCATCTTCAACTGGATAAACTAACTAAGGTTTTCTTCAATTAATGGGTTTGTTCACTTACTTAATCAAATTGAATTAGTGGGTTGGTTTCCATTAGAAAGTTCCATTCATAAGGTGAGAATAGATCTAAATTCAAACTTAAATCATGCAAACATGATAAGATAAGAGATTTAGAAGACTTTAGGTATTACAGAATCGATGTCTGTACAAAGAGGAGGCAAGATTTGTACGTCTTGACCAAGGTCAGCATTGAACAAAATCAGCAAATCTTTATAACAATACATTTTCCATTTAATTCAATGCTCTGTGATGCATTTTTCAATCAACTATAAAAAAAATGTAGCAAAATTCTTTCCCATAATAGTTTATTTTAAATAAAGAATGAGAAGTTACAGGTCTGGATGTATTGAGGTAACTGGTAGATGCTTTTAAATTTGATGATATGGGAGGAAATAAGATAATGTGATGAACAAAGCAACTAAATCAAACAAAAAACCCAAAGATCTTTTGGCCAAATAAATATTTTCCCTGAATACAAGCATCCATACCATATTTTTTTTGTTGTACAAGCAGATTTTGCTTAAAGGAATAAATTATCATTTGAAATACCCCACTCCCCCCAATCAAAATAAAAAGTCGCAAGAAGCATAGGATGAGCAGTATCTTGGAATACAATTTTTATTTAAGCCTAAATAAGCCAGTACAATGTTACAATTTGTAACAACACCTCAAATTCTGCATTTTTTGGGTAAAAAATCGCCACGTTTAATTTCAACAATGACTCACAACTGTTATTTCTACAATTTACTTTCACTATGAAGCCATGATCAGAATATCAAATTATCATTTGTAACATATTTTATTATTATAACAATAACTCGTCATGAAACATTTACAGTTTACTTTCAATATGAAACCATATTTTTGCAACGTATAAGAAGCCACGACTAGACTGTCCTTTTATGGCAGGCACACTTCTCTATATTGCTGTATAAACTGTGAACAGACACTGGGCACACTTCTGAATACATTAATGAGTTTTAATTACAGGTGTAAAAGATCAAAGAGAGGGGTGAAGAATACCACCTGTGAAGACAGGTATGGGTTCACAAGCTTAGCCTAGACAGGAACTTCTCAAATCCTAATCCAGGAAATTGTTAAAATCACACTTTCATAATTAGTGATCTCTTTATTATAATCATTTCTCTTCATCCTTCACTTTTTATAAAAAAAAAAAATTAAAAAAATTATCTCCTCCAAATTTTTCAAAAATTTATTTGGCTATTCAGATATATATTGTATGATGCTTTCATTGTTGTTTAAAAATCTAAAGAAATTTTAAATCAAACATTGATGCTGAGTGGAAGAGGGTTAAGCAAGTGTAGACTAGCAAGCTGTAATCATATTTCTAACATTAACATGATAACATATTTTCCATTTGAATTACAAATTGAGAAGGAAACTCTTTTTGCTAGTTTTACCTGAAAGTTCATTAACAAAATTTTTTAACATTTTTATCCAAGTGAGTATGTGGTCCTAAATAAAAAAGGGTCTCTAAAAACACCGCAAAGGACCTCCTTTGTGCACAAAGGAGCACAAAGGGGCACAAAGGACCACAAAGGAGTTTGATATGAGCACAAAGGACCTGAAATTCATTTCAAAACATAAAAATATTATAATTCATGAAGAAAAATGTAAAAAAAAAAATCAATTTCAATAAAAATTGCGATTTTAATAATGTACGATTTTTAGTTATCACCGGTATCGGTTTTGAACCGA